CTCTTTCTCCACCCACCTTTCCTGTCTCTCTACAGCTGCCTCTATAAATAAAGCCAACAAAAGGCCAAAAACATAGCTTTAAAAAAAAAAGCTTTATTCTATATCAGTGTTTAGCCAAAAGAGGGCAGCATGAGCTGCTTAATGATGCATTCACCATTTTACCCGTTGTATAGTATGGTGATGTGGAGAGACCAGTATCTTTTATACTTTCAATATGTCACATATATTAATTTATTATTTTGTTGTTTGTTTCCCAGTGTTTAATGTTTTGAGAAGAAATAAGTTAACATTTAACATTTCACTATGATGAATGTCTCTTATGCTAGTTTATTCTTGGGGACCCTGTCAGTAGTCCCTGTATGTTAAATGTGTTACAGGATGATGGTTTATTGGTTCTTGATATGGTTTAAACATACATCATGAGATTTATTTTTCCAGTGTGATATATATGGAAGAATTGTGTGAAACATTTTGAGACAGAACTCAATAGCACACATTTTTGTTATGAATTTAGACTTTATTTAGCACAGGATGAAAAATGATTCATGAAATGAGTCTATATGTTACAGGGACATTCAATGAATGTTACTGACATCTAGAAAACATGAAATGTAAAAACCATGTCAGTGTAAATATGTTAATCAACTAGGCGATGACTGTGTTGAATATGCACAGCAAAGGCTCTATACTGTATACAGTATAGCCATATTAACTCTTTCCAAATCTCAGATGTTTTGGGATTAATTTTTGTTCATTAAATGTTTCTTGGTATTTTTCTCTGGTTTAAACAATATGATGAAACACTTTGGAGCAAATATACACAGTATTAGTCCAAAACTAGAAGCCAGAATGGCAAATATCTCTACAGCCACTGTAAATTTCCCAGGAGAGCTGACATACGCTGGGATAAAGGTGATCCAGACTGCACAGAATATCATTATGCTGAATGTGAATATGTCTTGGTTTCATTATAATATGTTATATATTTGGTAGTTCGGCTAGGATTTTACAAAGCAAAACACAGCCTATAAGCCTATTACCCGAGTAACAGCCCAGAACCAATAGCTTTTTATATTCACTTCCAGGATGATTTTCTCTTTTTTATATGGTAGGTTTTGTTTATCTTGGAAAAGGCTGGACTGACTACCAACCAAATAGTACATTATTAAAAACCTTGAATGAAATGTGAAAGACACTACAGTTCATCTCCTGCGTGGAGGGAGCCAAACCATTTCATTTTATTTTTTGGAGTGTGGCTTTGAAGCGCCTGATTTTATTTTTTTTTCTATTAGTTTTGCCGAGAACACAAGAGATGCAGAGGACCATAAGCTGTGATCCCTATATTATACGCTTTTTTTTCTTTTATTTGGGGGGGGGCATGTGACCACTGATTGTTGTTTTTTTTAAAGTTAATTGGAACATAAGAAACCACACGAGTCAGGGAGAACAGCAGCAGGAAGGGCTCAGTTCAGAGTTGTTTGGGCCCTGACAATCGGGACTGTTCTGTGACGAAAGAACCGACAGCCGCTGTTATGATGGCAAGACAGGCACCACCAACTGAGAATGCAGCCACGGAGACATTCCGTAGGATCTCGTCAAAGGAAAGTAAACTCTACAGGCTTGGGGAAACCAAGTGGGTCTCTCTCTGCATTAGGCCCAGAACTCCTGGGGCAAGGGGAAACAATCAGGAGAATGCTGAAACAAAGAAAAACAACAAAGGGTTTAGCAGTGTCTGTATATATTGATGTATAGACATGCATTAGAAAAAAAGTAAGATTACCTGTAGCATTGCTGAATCTTCCCTCAGGACATGTATACAGCTCAAAACAGCAGATGGGTGTTTCCTTTCTGCAACACTTTTACGAGTGTCCTGGAGGAAGCTGTCACTGCAACACTGACACAGGCACCTGACACATAAATACAAAGAACTCACACATATACAGGAGCGCTATGCAGATCTTAGCATTAAAAGAAAAAAAAAATTCACGACTGTCTTAAAACAATACTCACATGCCAATATGTGTATTTAAACTTGCATTGGTCATTGTAACCACTCTTCTTCTGGCCTGTGAATATATCCCTTGCTATAGCCATTTTAGTGTAACTGCTGGAGGACAAAATCCACAGTAATGATTTTGTGTAAAAATACCTTTTCAAATTTGGCTGATGTTAAAATGAGGCACCAGCAGTCAGAGTCAGACAAATCAAGTGGCTATCTTCCAAACATAGCTGTTTTAGTCCAAATGATCCCTCTGCTGTAGCTCAAAAAGGGAACACTGCTTCACACTACAAATTCTGTAACTTTGGAAGATACCCACATGATTTATCTATCTTATACTGCTTAAGTCTCATATCATCTGAATACTGGATGCCACTTTTGCACAGAATGAGGCTTTGAATTTTGTCCCACATCCTTTACAGTGGAATTATATTAGCAATGGATCTCTTCACAGCCAATATGGACAGAGGGAACAGGGACCAAAAACACATATTGTACCCCTTTAAGATCACCATATTTGAAATTTGAATATTTTTAAAACAAGCAGACTGTACAGACTGCACACTGTCTTGCTTACTGCTGAAAACAATATGTCATTATATACAGTGTTACGGTCTGTGCAACCTTCATCGGGTATTTTTCAGAAGTCAGTGAGCGAGTGTGCTGGAGTTCCTCATTGTTTTCAAGTTGCACCTTCTTTCAACACACCTGTCATACATTCAGGTTTGAAGAGATTTTTTTCTATGAATTTGAATATGTTAAATTATTGCTTTTGGGTCCCTTACTTGTGTGCCACCCTCTATCCAGGTGAGGCTCTTGTTTATACGGAACTCCTGGCCCACTGGCAGGGATGCATCATAGTGCCCTACTGTCACCAACTCAATGCTGCCCTTCTCACTTTTTTGCCAGTTCACCAGCTCGTATTTGGCCACAGGATCCCCGTTGGCATCAAATGACACATCATAACCATTTTGGGAAAAATGTACTTTCTTCAGCAGAGTTTGGACCTGCGAGGATGAAGTAAAGTATGACAGTGAGGGAGAGAAAGAAAAATGCCAAATCAAATGAATCTATAATTTCATAAAAGGTTCATTGTAGGGAAAAAATGGGCATTGGGTTTCTTCATATTGACTGACCTGTTTTGACTCTATCCTGGTGATTTTGTCACACTGAGTTGTAGAATTTGCATCCTCACACACTGCATTATGAATGGCATGTGCTATTGCATAAACAGCCTTGTACACCATGTTAGTGACCCGGAGTTGAGATGTGTCAGTGTACGGGCTCTGGAGCGTCCGTATGTTTTCAGATCCATCACACACATTCTCGTCTATGGATGCACCTAAAAACAAACAGAGACAGAGGAAGTCTTGGCAATGATATTACATTATTATTATTTTTTTACATTTATTAGTCTTTTTTGCTTCCTGATTGTTTTATTTCACCGACCAAACATGCCCTGCAGAGACACATATTGTTCTAATTTATTTATAAAACTGTTCATTACATTTCAAAGCACTGTTTCATTTGAAAGAGCTATTGTTTCAATTTGTGTCAGGCCTTCATGTATTTCAATTCATGTTGAATGATTTTTGACAATTTTTCCATTAATCATGACCAGACTTGACCTGTCTTCGTTTGTTTATAAATAAATAAATAATCTGAAATCACATTCAGTAAAACAATTACACCTGCAAATACTGTAACTGATTGTAGTTATATTCATTTAGCTTCATGGCCTGGAGACTGTCTCTGTGCGTTTGTTCAGGACGTCAGTGCGGGTATTGTGAAACCCCTGCAGCCAAGTTCATAGAAAATCATCAAACTTGACCTGAAACCATCAAGTTAGATTATTCAACATTATTGTTCAACATCAATAGTTTCCTTCTTAATATAAATCTGGGGTTTGAAGCAGCTGCTGACTTTTAACCACTCAGACAGGCAATCAACAACACAACTGTAAGGACCTGACTGTGAATGGCAAATATGTTAAAAATCTGCATAGCTTTCTCACTTTTTCCCAGCCTGCAGTTGAATGCACCCTCCCAGAACTCAGTAAGCAGTGGAGAGGCAGCCACTTTAGTGGGAGAGAGATCGAGCAAGAATTCCCTCAGACCTGGGATGACAGATTGCTGAATGGCAAATCCAATGGCTCCATCACAGAAGCTGAACCTCAGCATGTCTTGGTCAGTTACCCAGGATTCACTGCCTATCCACTGGCGAGGTGGAAAAGGCTTGTGGGACAGCTCCTCAAGCAGAATCCTCATGTCTCCATTAGCTACAAATGCCACGATAACTATAGCTGTTGACCTGGAGAGAAATTATACTGCATTAGAATATCTGTATAAGTATGAATAATATATATTATATATATGTTTTTTGGTGTTTTAAATATACATAATTGGTCTCACTGACTATCACAATATCAGTAATAAATATGAGAGAAATATCATGAAAAACAAAATCAATCTTACATCTTATATTTGACAAAATATTGTTTGTAATTTGTTTGTGCAGTGTCAGCAATAAAAGTATAACCAATTATGGAAAGACCTGCGGATAACATCAGCTACTCTCTGGATCCTGCTACGTGGGGGTTCGATTAGAAAGACTGACAGGTATTCCACACAGATCCTTCCTTCTGTGGCTCGCCGTCCAGGAAAGAAATCTGACCGGACAGCACCTATCCAAGTCCAGCCAAAGTGTTTTACCAGCTTGGCCAATGCATCAGCCTGGAACTGGTCACTAGGGATTGTTCTGAAGAAACTCGGGTACTGCTGCTTATCAGACAGGCATGCACAAGTGGCAAAGTGGCTCACCTGAAGGAAAATAGGTGCAATTATTTAACGAGAATGTCAAAGAGACAAAATAATCATCACTGGCCCATATTAAAACATATAGTTTATCAGACAGTCAAAACTTACTTACTCACTTACTTACTTGAGGAATGTTAAAGGATCCGAGGATGCGTGACATGCTGATGGATGGCGTGGACCCAGACTCACCGACGATAGCCATCACCATACCAGATTGAGAGCAATTGTCAGCAGTGTAAAACACCGGGTCCAGGCCATTAGCAAGCTGGAATGCCACATGCACTGCCACAGGCACTGAGGCGCACGAGTCGTGGATCTGATAACCGAGTTTGATGCCCGGCAGCAGCCTTGTGCTGTTGTTAATCTCTTCGATGGCGAACACCATTGCACGTGAGAAGCGCAGTTCACGGGCGTCAATGCTGCACACAGACACTCATGTCACTGTTCAAATTTATATAAGGACAATTCAAATTTTTACAGAAAACAGACAATAAAGGAGAACTGCAATTCAAGTTATGGGCAATAAATAACTGATTGTTGTCATGTATCTGTAAACCAAATATACATCACAGAGTTACCTGATATGGACTGGATATAAGTCTAAAATTCAGAGGAATTTTAATGCACCGATTTAGTCAGTTTTAATTTGTTTTTATTATGTTAAATATTTAGGAATATTTTCAACACACCAATGTTTTCAGTTAAAAAATACAAAAATTCAAATTTTTCCTTTAGTCATACTGTAGTATTTTTGTGAACTAATGCCTGCAATTTATAGGACCAAATACTTTATTTGGCACTTATACTTAAAAATAAAAAAGATAAGATATAAGATTTTATATGCTATATAAATGCTTTGCAACCCGACTGTAAGCTAGTTAAAATCAAAACATTTCTATCCCCACACAGTCAAACATCTTTGTATCCACCACTTCTCCCTCTTACTAACCTCCCTGTGCACCTCATTGGCTCAGGCATTGTGGTGTAGTTATGCTTCACTGTGTGCATGTAGTCATATGGGAAAAAACCCCAATAACGGATAGTCACCATCCATTGAGAAATGCAGTTAGACGAAAAGTGTACACCTGGAGCTTACATTTCACTGAATGAGGGCTCCCATGCTGAATCCAGCAAACGTCATATCCTCTGTAACCTGCCTTTGCTTTTTTCAGAAATCATCAAATTCATTCAGACAAAAGCTGAGTTCAGATCACACAAACCAGAGACCAGTTCAGGCCAAATAAAAGAGTGCTGAGAATCTCCATACCTCAAGTGTCTGTATGTGGAGTGTTCGTATAGGTGTTTTTTAACTGGTTTATATAGATTTCGTCAAAAGCTTCCCTCCTTCTACTGTGCGTCACTGTAATTATCCATAAGAAAGAAGATGCCTTCTAGGTAGATCTTAATGATGAAGCTCATAATTACATAATTACTTTTTAATTATTAATTCATACCTTTTAATTGGTTTCTTTAAACGTACATGCTCAAATAGCACAATTTTATCCGCACCGATTTGACTTGTAGACGTGACCAATTTTGAAGCAGAATCCGATGAATTTCCCCTTAGGGAAGTTGTTCAAATAACAACACACGAAAGTTTGCCGAAAGTGGAAATCAAAATCCAAATGGCGACTTCCGTGGGGTTGGGGGTATGGGTCCAGAGGCTTTTTCTGTACGTCTCGCAGGTTACACGTGCCAACCGAGTTTTCGTACATATCGGTGAAAGTGGCGCGGGGGCTGCTTTTTTTAGCCGTTAGGGGTGCTACAACACAATTTTTGGGTATGGTTGAGCTACAAGGCACAGTCTACACATGCCCTGTGAATTCCCATTATTCATAACTATTACGGTCTCCGCACGTGATTTTATCATGCCACAAGACGCACCCAGGTTGGAGGTGGGATTTTTTCTCCTCTTTTAGGTGAGCCTCAGGGAGCCATGGGCATCCATCCCCTAAAAGTTTCGTTTTAATCACCATCATGTGCGATGCGGAGATGATAACTTGTTCGATTTTAAAGAGCGCCACCTTGTGGCCAATTCGGCCTGAAATTGGTTGGACGATGCTAAGGAAGCAAGCAACTATGGACCAAAGATGTGTCAATGGACATAGAACCAATGTTGGAGGAAATGGGTCCACTTTCTTTTTTTTGCGAAAAACCTACAGGAAGTATTAATTTTTTAGCGTTTTATTTTTTTTAATTTCAAATGGGTTCAACATTACGTTTTTTGGCCAGGGGCGGTCCCCAGATTGCCCTGCGGTGAAAATTCTTAGTATATCGGAAAGAGCATAGGAGGAACACGAAAAAAGT